ATGGGTGATGTTCTGGCCTTTCTGCATGCCCAAATCAGAATTCATTTTTTTTATTTGATTAGAAGAAAACTGTCTGGCATACGTAGGTCACATAGGCCGGTAAGCTTGTCATTGTGAGAAAATATATTGTATAAAAATGTTTATTGCTACGATCTATGGATTTTGAGGTCACTTTGGCTGTCACCACGCGCTTAAATCCACATTTAATGATACTGATCAATAGATGAATTGTATGACAGTCCAAAAATGTAAAAACAGCGAATCTCATTTCTTCGGCACTGTTCAACTTCATCAATCCAAATGCAAGCACAGACTCACACATGCACACACACACACACACACACACACGCATACACATACACACACATACACACATATACACACATACATACATGCACACACAACACACACACACACACCCACACACACACACACACACACATACACATACATACACACACACCCACACAAACACACACACACACACACACACACACACATTCTCACACACACACACACACAAATGAAAAATAACCTATTTTCAAAATATAATTACATGATAATATTTGTAGAAGCAAGCTCTACCCGATATTAACTACTTTTACAGAGGTAATGTTAGTCATTGTTTTTTGGTTTTTTTTTCTTGTCTGTGAGCCTGAAGTTTGGACAGATCACTACCAGATTTTTTCGTCTCTGAATCTATCTGAAATAGGACATTTTGATGTATGAAGCCCTGTATACAAAAAAATAAAAACTAATGTGCTAGATGTTTTCTCCACAAAAGAATGTGACTGGTTAGTCTATGTGACAAATTTACAGATATCAAGTTTGTTTATTGTCCCTGTTTTGTTTCCCTCCAGAAACGGGCTATGATGGACAGTGTACGTCGGTGTCTCAAGGGTCTGAGAACCAATGTGCTGGACAACTTACTTGTGTCAACTTTGCGTGCAAGTGTTTTAGTGGGCTGTACCATACTGGCAGCAATCAGTGTGCCCCAAGTAAGTAGGTGGGGGGACTAGCATGAAACCTTAGGTATGGGATTAATGGCAGAGGTTAAGGAGGATTAGGAGGAAAAGCAGAAGAAGAAGAAGAAGAAGAAGAAGAAGAAGAAGAAGAAGAAGAAGAAGAAGAAGAAGAAGAAGAAGAAGAAGAAGAAGAAGAAAAAGAAGGAAAGACACTGGAAGGTGGAGTACTTTCTGTAAAGTCTGTGTTTTGAAAAGAGATGGAGGAAGGTAAAAGAGAGAAAACTGACATGTCCTGAGACCAATAGAAGAAAACAGTTAAATCTGCATGAGTTCAATTTTTCAAATTAGAACAACAACAGCAACAAAAAAGAAATAGAACAAAGTAGAGGACAAAAAGTGGGTTGTTGTGAATAAATCTGGTTTTGGTATTATGGTCAGTTTTAACTCTGTGTTTTTAGTTTTGCATTGTTCATGTCTGTAGAGGAATATTGAGGATGTGCTGCCAAGTGGAACAAGGAGTTGTTTTTGTTTGTTAATTTAGTATAGGGTTTTACAGCGCTCGCAACTGCATAAGGTCATATGAGCATGCGGGACACACCTAATACTTTTCCGTTGGTAGGAAATTTTGAATTTTGCCCGGGTGGCGGCCGAAGCCTACTCTTATCGATTTTAGACCACCAAGGGATCTTTAACGTGCGAAACTTGCACACGGGCCCTCCGAGATTTTTCGCCCTTGTCCGAGAAGGCTAGGTGTAGATCTTTCCTACCAGAAGATCAGTGGTGTGGCAGAAAGACAGCAGTTAGGAGGAGCCAAGGAGTAGCAGTAGAAAGGCTGCAGAAAGAGTCAGGAGCCCAGAGGAGGGGGCAAAGGAGGTGAGGGGGTGGGGGCAGAAAGTGGAAATGAAAGCAGACAACAGAACATTGTTAGAGATCAGGAAAGGATGTGAAAGGAGACAATTTTAGAGAAGAAAATTTTTTGGTCGCTACCCGGAATCGAACCCGGGACCTTTGAATGAGAGGCCAACACCTTAACCTCTAGGCCACGAGAGCCCCCATGAACAAGGAGTGAGGATACATTGAGGAACAGAGTATGGAGGAGAGGATAGGGCAGAGTTGTGTAGAACTGTTTGTCTTTATAGAGTTGGGTAAAGTGGAACATTACTTTTTCTGACTGATACTGATAACAATATACCGACATAATAGATATTTTGTGTCACAACACAGTGGAATCAGGCGCCTATCAATTTTAAGACAATGGAGTTTTTGGTAAAATCTTAAAGCTCGTTCATTAGCCTTGCTTATGATGAGAAAATATCCATCTAAAAGTTTAGATATTTGCAATTATTGGAGGTGGGGGTTGTCAAAGGTAAAATAAGCAAGAAAATGTCGGCCAAACTTAGGTGATTTTCAAAGCGTGATGTCCTTTGAAAATGCTAATTTGCTTCTTTTTTTTGGGTCTTTGGTCAATGTTTTTCATTAAAATCCACCCTCAAATGTGTTTTTCCATTGATGTAAAAGGTGTTGAACTGAAAACTTAAAAAACTCGATAAAAATTGCCCAAGGGAACAAAAAGTCGGTTTCTTCGATTTTCTTACTTTGACGAGCTCCTGATTTCTGCATGATGGCACACATATACTATGTCTTCAAAAGAATGTAACTGGTTAGTCTTTGTGACAACTTCACAGACATGTCAAGTGTGTTTATTGTCCCTGTTTTGTTTCCCTCCAGAAAGCGACTATGATGGATATTGTACGTCGGGGTCCCCGGAGTCTGAGAACCCATGTGATGGACAGCTTACTTGTGTCACCTCCAGGTGCAAGTGTTCCAGTGGGCTGTACCATACTGGCGGCAATCAGTGTGCCCTAAGTAAGTAGGGTGGGGGTGGGTAGGTGGGGAGGGCAAGTAGTACAAAAATCTCCTCAGTTATGGGATTTCACAGCGAAAGATGATGAGGAATGGGAGCAGAGGGTGCAGAAATAGATGAAGAAAAATAAAAGGAAAGATGCTGGAAGGTGGGGAGGTTATTTACAGCGTATCATTGACGTAATTACAACAGTGTTTAAGTCATGTTTTACAGTTTTGAGGAAATGAAAGATGAAGAGAGTGTCCAAATCAGAACCAATACTTGATATTTTAAAATTAAAAACTATAAAGGAAATAAGATAAGATCAGATAAGATAAGATAATACTTTATTATCCCAGAAAGAAACATTTTGAATGACATTGATGATATGCATATTGTAGATTTAGCTATGTTTTCTCCTTTGTAAATGTTGAAATTGACCTTTTGTAGATTTAGCTCAGTTTTCTTCTTTGTAACTGTTGAAGTTGACCTATTGTAGATTTAGCTAAGTTTTCTTCTATTTGTATCAGAACAAGTCACTCGGTCTTCTCTTGAAATCTTGAGTCAGTCTCTTATTCTTTTTCCCCTTCCTCCATCTACAGCATTATATATACCTAGTACTGGGAAAAGTAGGTCATATCATAAAAACAACATTTTGGTGCTTCACTTAGTGTTCCCAGCACTCGCTTAAAAAATCAGAAAATTTGTTTTTTTTCCCGACCTCGTGGCGAGTTTTTTCTATTCTTTGTTTTTGATGAAGTTTAGATCTGTGTTTACCTCAAGCCAGAACTACACACTACACTTGATCCTTATCTACCAAGGAAGATGGTAGGTTTATGGTAACATCAAAGAAATTGCGCCACTGGACTGCTCCGTCCGTTTCTGCTGTTGACAGGACTTCAACGTCAAGAAACAAACAAAGACGTCAAATGTTACTGCGTTTTCTTGATAAACACAGACCCAAACTAACTGTATTTTATTAAAAAAACAAGTAATATAAAAAATCTGCCACGTCGATGTTTAAATAATGCTCCAGTTTTCAGACACGTACACAAAACTTTTAAGCAATAGTCACACTCTACTTTTGAAAGGACTCGTAGTTCTCTGTCTTAAGTCTGTCACCCACCTGTAGAAGGAAATCTTTGCTGTCATTTGTCAATGTCCGGTAGGTCTGACAGTTGCTGGATAGTCATGGAGAGGTGGGTGAGTCTTGGTGCGTGCTTACAGTCAGGGACAAAGTCTTGCTTGTTGTTTTTACTTATGATGCTTTGTGGAAGGGTTCACTTTTTCCCACAGTCTACGTAATGAGTCCCAAGTTGTGCACGACCTAGCCAATACAATAAACAGGAAGAAAATACCGCTGTATTTTAAGAAACAATAAATGTTCTTGTTTTTAAAGATTTCCAATGAAAAGCTGAAGGCCTAAAGAGAAAGGGTGAAGTCTCGGAGAGTGGACTTAAAAGCATTAAAGAACGGAGAGGATAGAGCCTCTGTTTTCTTTACTTGTGCACAAAGTACCCACAAAGTGTATTCCCTGAACACTTGTACGTCAGTGTCTGATGCAGATGGCCCTACCCCCCGTTAGGGCAGTGCCACTGACTGAAGTGTCTTTAGGCCATTCCCAAAGTTTATTTTCTACTTTTTAACGGTGGTGCTGTGAACACTTATTACTTTTACTTTTTACTTTTTCATCCTCTGTTGCCTTTAAGCTTCAAGGGGAGATGGAGGTTTCTATGGCAGTGGCAGTATTGGTAGGCCAACTCTGCTGCTCTTTCAATTGGGATGTTGCAATTTCTCAGAGGTCCCTTGACTCCCTCAATCCATCTTTTGTATGACCTACTTCTTCCTTTATAGCCTGAGTACTTGGTGTTATAGGGTTCTCGAGGCTGGCTGGCCAGGTGACGTTTGTAACAGGTGGCCAAACTGTTTTGTTTTTTGTGTTTTTCTATGCAATGCAATCGGGACTCTGTGCTCTTTTTTCTTTATTTTTCTGCCTATCTCTTCATGGGATGTTTAGGGTTTTGCGGAGACATTTCATCTCTCATGTAGTGATTTTTGCTTTAATGGGTTCTAATTTATATCCATGTCTAGCGTCTGGCACTTGTAGCTTAATGTTGGTAGAAGTATTGAAGTGAAGCTGTCTTTTTGTGTCCATGGATGAGATAGGAGGGGTGCAAGCTGAAAGATGATGGTGTTGGCTTTTTGAGTTTGCATTTCTATTTCTCTGTCTCCGGACCTGTTTTCAGGAAAAATGCTGCCTGGACATTTAAACTCCTTGACCTGTTTAAGTTGTTTGCTATTGACATGAAAGTTCAGAGGACTATCTTTTTGGCTAACTTTCATAACTTTTTGTTTTTGATGTGCTTATTCTCATGTCAAATTTCTCACTGCTGTTCAATATGATATATGATTTTGGAGGCTTTGTTGGTTTGGAGGAATTAGACTTTGGTTGTCTGAAAACAGAAGTTAATTTTGGCTTTCTGGGCTTTGGTTTTTGTTTTGCATTATTGTGTCCATATATACAATGTATTATGAAAAGGATGGGAGATAAAAACATATTGCTGTCGTACTTCGGGTCTTATTTCAAGCCTGTTTGTGTTGCCTTCTTCAATTCTTACAGGCAACACAAACTGGTTCGAAGTAAAATCAGGAGAATGACCGGGAATGAACAGTAATAGAAGCACCAAAATGTAATTTTTGTAAGATGACCTCCTTTTTACCTAACTTAGTATTGCTCACAGGAAAGGAAAAGTGTACACTCAGTAGACTAGATATTTTACACAATCAGAGAGTGGAACCGTTTTTTTTATTGCCAATGTACAAGAAATGGGCACAACAAGAATTTAGACTGCAGTTTTTAAAACTAAATCTTTAGCGTGAAATGTTTAACTTTCGTCATTCCAGCTTTACAAAGTAGAACCAAGCCATGCTTTGAACTAACGGGAAAACTACCACCTTGTGCCCAGTGCGCTCACATGACCTTGTGCTGTTGCAAGTGCTGTAAAAATCTTGCCTAACTTTCCAATGAACACAATATGTATTATGTCCTCAAAAGAATGTGACTGGTTCATCTTTGTCACAGGTTTACAGATACAGATACATCAAGTGTGTTTATTGTCCCTGTTTTGTTTCCCTCCAGAAATCAGCTATAATGAACAGTGTACGTCGGGGTCTCCAGGGTCTGAGAACCAATGTGCTGGTGATCTTTCTTGTGTGAACTTTGCGTGCAAGTGTTCTGACATGGAGTACCACTATGGCAACGACCGGTGTGCAACAAGTAAGTGGGAGGGGGTGAGGGGGAGAGCTTTTCTCTATGTTTGGAGTGTGGACCTTTTCTGCTTGCTGTATTTGTCTGGATTTACAAACTGTTGCTCAGAACTCAATTTATGTGAGCTGATTGTGTAGTGTTTATGATCATTTCCGACTTTTTAAATACCTTTTGACTTGTATGACAAGAACTGTTGTGTCAGAGGAGTCTCTCAGAGTGTTCAGTTTCCTGACCTCAGTTGTTTTACTTTGTTCTACATCAATTATTTTACTTTGTTCTACATCAGTTTTACTTTGTTCTACATCAGTTGTTTTACTTTGTTCTACTTCAGTTGTTTTACTTTGTTCTACATCTGTTGTTTTATTTTGTTCTACATCTGTTGTTTTACTTTGTTCTACATCAGTTGTTTTTCTTTGTTCCCAAACTACACAGTTCTACATCACGGTCCTTGTAGGGTAGAGTCTGGCCCGTGGATGAGCCAGTTTGGGGAAAGTCCAGAAGTAGGTCACACTTTACAAACAGCACCCCTCGTGGGCAGTATTGCATACAGACGTATCTCAAAGGCCGCCAAAAATGACTTACGTCTGTATGCAATACTGCCTGCGTCCTGTGTTGTGGGATTCCTGTCGAAGGATGGGGAGGGTTAGGAGGAGGAGCAGAAGTAGAAGAAGAAAAAAGAAAAGGAAAAACCTTGGAATGGGGAAGGCTTATTTAACCCTATCCATACGCCTTGGGGTCATTTTGTACCCCCGACGTTGTATTCTTCACATTTTAGAATACTTCTAGTACGAAGATCTCTTTGAAACTTTCAGTATTTCTCAAATAATCATTTTGACAGACTGGTATGCAAAGCGTATGGATCGGATTAACGAGTAAATTTCCTCTTTGGAAAGTGGTGGTACAGAGTTCCTCATGTCGTATGGATACGATAGTAAAACCCGATGTACGGCTAGGGTTAAAGTGTGTAACTTGGAAAAGGAGGGAGGAAAAAAAGAGTAAGAGACTCCCACTCAAGATGTCAGTGATAGACGGAGTGATTTGTTCTGATACAAATGAAAAAAAAGTTGTTAAACCTACGTGAGCTCAATTTCAAGAAAGAAAAGAAAAACAAACAGAAAAAAAAATGTAGATCCCGTGAGCCAGATGAAGGACAAAAGGTGAGTAGGTGTGAATAAAACTGGTTTTGGTATTATGGTCAGTTTTCACTTTCTCTTCATAGGTAGAGGAATATGGAGGTGGTAGGGCTTGGAAGAAGAAGGAGTGAGGTGATGTTAAGTAAAAGATTTGTGAGGGCAAGATAGGGCAGAAATGTGAAGACTGCTTGTATATTTGTAGTTTGGAAAAGGGAGAGGGTTTTATTCTTCTTCTTTTTTGTGGGACAATACTGGTATGTACAAAAGAATGAACACTGCTGATGCTATTTTTTCCAAGGAATGTGACTGGTTAGTCTATGTGACAAATTCACAGATATGTCAAGTGTGTTTATTGTCCCTGTTTTGTTTCCCTCCAGAAAAGGGCTATGATGAACAGTGTTCGTCGGTGTCTCAAGTGTCTGAGAACCAATGTGCTGGACAACTTACATGTGATGCCAACTCCAGGTGCAAGTGTTCTAGTGGGCTGTACCATACTGGCAGCAATCAGTGTGCCCCAAGTAAGTAGGGTGGGGTGAGGGGGAGATGGAGAGGGGGGGGGGCTAGCACAAAACCTGAATAACAGGATTCATGTTGAATGTTGAAAAAGATTAGGAGGCAGAGCAGAAGTAGAAGAAAACAAAAGAAGAGACACTGGAAGGTGGGGGATGTGTTATTTAAGTCATATGACTTGGAAAAAAAAAGATGGAGGAAGGGGAAAAATATGAGATATCAGTAGAAGACTGTGACTAGTTCAGTTGAAAACAAAAAAAAGTGGGGAAATCTGTATGAGTTCAATTTCAACAAAGAAAAACAATTGATGAAGGAGAGATATCCTTTCGAGACAAGTGGAGGATAAAAAGTGAGTAGTTGTGAACAAAGCTAGTTTTGGTATATATAATGGTCTGTTTTCACTTTCTCTTCATAGTTTTGCATGACTTACACACGTAAAGGCAATGATATTGAGGATGTGTGTCTTGGTGGAACAAGGAGTGAAGAGATCTTTTGTAAAAGAGAATTGAAGAGAGGACAAGGAAAAAATGTGAAAGCTGCTTGTTTTTTATAGTTTGGAAAAGTGGGAAGTGTATATAGTGGCGAGACCCAAACTGACATATAAAAGAATTAACACAATAAATATTATATCCTCAAGCCTCAAAAGAACATGATTGGTCAATCTTTGTGACAGATTTACAGATCTGTCAGGTGTGTTTATTGATATTGTCCCTCTTTTGTTTTCCCCCAGAAATCGGCTATGATGGACAGTGTCGATTTGTGTATGAGAACCCATGTGCTGGACAGCTTACTTGTGATGTCACCTCCAGGTGCAAGTGTTTTAGTGGGCAGTACCACTCTGGCAACAACCTGTGTGCCCCAAGTAAGTAGGACGGAGTGAGAGGGAGTTGTCCTTAACATGTGTAAGGAAGTAGTTGACAGTTTGTTTTCATCATTATCTTTGAATGTACATACTGCTGTTACAAACCTTTTGTAAGTGCTCATGTTTTTTGTTCTAGTTTTATTTCCCATTTGGTCGGTGTATTTTGTCTCTCCGTGGTCCTTTGGGACTTGATGAATGCGGCGATGTTGTAATAGATGTTTTGGCATTCATGACACTTTTCCTTACACATTGCTGACTTGCAGGTTCTGAACTTGATGTACTGATATCTATTCTTTCTGTTGTGATCTGTTGTTTTTTCTGATCGTAGTGACCTAGTTCAGCCTTCTAGGGGATTTTTAAAATAGTACTACTAGGTCAAATGTTCTTAATTAATATTGGATTTTGCTGACACATTAACAAAATTTAAATAATGCTCCAGTTTTCAGACACGTACACAAAACTTCTAAGCCATAGTCACACTCTACTTTTGAAAGGACTCATTAGTTCTGTGTCTTAAGTCTGTCACCCACCTGTAGAAGGAAATCTTTGCTGTCATTTGTCAATGTGTAGTAGGTCTGACCGTTGCTGGATACTATGGAGAGGTGGGTGAGTCTTGGTGCGTGCTTACAGTCAGGAACAAAGTCTTGCTTGTTGTTTTTACTTTTGATGGTCTGTGGAAGGGTTCACTTTTTCCCACAGTCTACGTAATGAGTCCCAAGTTGTGCACGACCTAGCCAGTACAACAAACAGGAAGAAAATACCGCTGTTTGTGTCTGTTTTCAGAAACAATAAATGTTCTTGTTTTTAAAGACTTCCATTGAAAAACTGAAGGCCTAAAGAGTAAGGGAGAAGTCTCGAAGAGCCGACTTAAAAACATCAAAGAACGGAGAGGATAGAGCCTGTGTTTTCTTTACTTATTAAAACCTCACAAAGTGTATCGTATTCCCTGAACACTTGTACGCTGGTGTGTGATACAGATG